TTTTAATTAAAACATTCTACCACAAAATAATATACTTGAATTTCTCTTGCACCTTTCATCCTCAAATACTCTACAAACATGAATGGATTAAAATTGTTAGTAATCAAGAATCATAGGCAGGAGAGAAGAAACTCTGTATAAAGTGGATAAATATAAAGGTGGAATTCTTTTACCAGGTGTGAGAACTGACATAGAGGTTAAAAACTTTATTTGTGGCTGCACAGGAGGTCTTGGGGGAAAAAAAAATAAAATTCTGGTTTCCCAGACCTACACTTGAAGTGAAGAACATAATTTCTTACTATTACCAAAAACAAAACTAAGGTGAGAGAAGAGAAAGAAGAAGAGAAGTTACAATAAGCAGAAATAGATAGGTCCAAATATTAGTTTTAATTTATAAATTAGGAATTGGGTTCTATTTAAAAGTTGAAAAAAACACTTGAAAATAGCTGAAAATGCTCCCCTCGGCCTCTTGAAAGTGATCTGGCTTTATATTCTCCAAAGTAGTATGGAACTTGGCACCCCATCATCTCTGATTATTCCCTGAATCATGGTAAAGGAAGCTGATCGCAGGCCCCAGTAGCCACCTAATTCTGACAGTGGTTCAGAACTGCAGTGTAAATAGCTGTACAGTCATCAGTACTGAGGGGAAAGCCTCTGGAAAAACTAAAGGAACTACAAAGCACAGCTGTGATTAGCAGCATGTTTCCATCTCCCTGTCTTTTACTTTTCCCCTAGGAATGTAATTGGTGCGCTTTTTTTAACGTTTTTTTTCACTATCACATTGCTGTTGTCTTCAAGATCTTTTGTGGAAATAATTTTTTTTTAACGTTTTTTTTCATTATCACATTGCTATTGTCTTCAAGATCTTTTGTGGAAATAAAATTTGGTGATTATTACTACCCAGTGTAAACAATATGCCAAAAGAAAGACTTACTATATGCAGACTTTACTATATAGCTTTTAGCTCATTATTCATGCTTCAGAGGCATTTCATGTAATGTACCAATATTACAGAAAACAACATTTTGTGCTCATTTCTCAACAACCTTGTCTTTCCAGTTCATATCAGGTTGCAAACTGTGACATTTTGATTAAGAACTGTTGATCAGAACTGGAAGATCTAATATCCCTATTCCATTTTACTTTATTTAAAGTTTTTGAAAAATGCAAAATGTTGTGTCTGATTGATAGCTACCACAGAGGAATGAAAAATCTTTTCTAACAGAATAGTTCTTTCCAGAATACTTAAGCAGTTGAATTGAAGACTGGGTAATAGTGCTTGATTTTGACTTTTACTTGTAAGTATCTGTCTTTTATAACAGAACATTAGTTAATGTGGAATTTTGAAACACCAAATTTTTTTATGTTTTTAAAAGATGACCCCCAAGTTAAGTGTGCAAAGCATGCAAAGTTGAATGTGCAGGAAAATATTGCTATATATGATCTGATTGTCTGACTCTTCTGACATGCAATAAAAAAAAAGGTTTCATGTATTCTTGTTTTGTGTATGTAATGAGAAATGAAACAAGGGAGGCCAAGGCCCATCTGGAATTGGATCTGGCCAAGGAAGTCAAGGACAACAGGAAGGGCTTTTTCAAATATTTTATCATGTACAATGTGCTGTAGGATGACCCTGCTTGAGCAGGGAGGTTGGACCAGGTGACCCACTGTGATCCCTTCCAACCTGAAAAATTCTGTGATTCTGTAAGTTTGAGTCATAATACTGAAACTATAGTTGGTCATGTCTTCCTTTTATAGAGTACTTGCTAAAGTTATTCAGTCAACCTGACTTAGTGGTTGGCCTTGGAGAGATGCAAAACTATTTAGTTTAGAAAACCCAAATCCTCATAGCACTTTAACTTTGCATAGAATCACAAAACCATAGAATGGTTACCGAATCCTCATAGCACTTTAACTTTACATAGAATCACAAAACCATAGAATGGTTTAGGTTAGAAGAGGCCTCAAAGATCACCTAATTCCAAACCCCCTGCCATGGGCATAGACACCTTCCACTAGGCCTGGTTGCTTGAAGATCCATCCAAACATGTGGAAAATGCTTTTGGAGTAAGAACATAAACAGGATATTTTTTCAATCTAGATAGTTTTAAATGACAAATATTTTGTCTTTTCTGATTACTCCCTATAATAGCCATGAAACATTTGTGCAAAATTCAATTGATTTTCTAGGATTCTCTTAAACAAGAGATCCTTCTTCTCCTATCTTCTTCACATAGGGCACAGGAGAATTTTAAAAGCATTCTTTCCAAACAGCAAAATGTGTATTGAACACTTTCTTAGTGTGATATCTGCATGAAGATTGGTGAAAAATAGATAAGAACAGAAGGGAAAATGTTTCCATATGGAGAAAAAAAAAGGTGAACATTTCTGGGAGATTTTCCATTTACTTTTAATTCAAGTGTGCTTTCATAAAATTTCAGAAGTAGACATAATAATGAAATGGCAGAGCATGTTTCAAAAATCATTTATCAACATTGTCATTATGATGACATATGTCCAAGTGCATCATGAAATATTAAGTGTGAATGCCATGTAGAATTCCAGCTAATGATAGCAGAAACCCTGGGGACTTTGCAAAGAATGGTGCAAAAGCTGGCTAGTATATATTGTTCCTGATACTTAAAGCTGTTTGAAGCCCATTGCTCTGCGTTAGCTATTGCTGTATCTGTGTATTATCAAATGACTTGGCAGTATAAATTTGATATGGATCACACGTAACTGCATTATGGCACTTCAGCTGAATTATCGAGAGGCCAGGCTATGGTACTTATGCTGGCTTGATACTTGATACCAGATTTATCTGACTGTTGGAGGTCAGATAAGGACCTGACATCTGCTAGGACAAAGATACACTGCAAAACTTTGTGTAAGTGTGAAGCCTCACAGTGAGCCAGTGCTGGTTTAGCATTTCATGTCATGTGGCTGCATTATTATTTATCCAGTAACTTAAATCCAGTTTTCCTTTTTCAGAACCGAAAACTAGTGATTATGAAAGTGAAGACAAACAAAGTGGAATCTCCACCCTACAAAAAATCTTTAGAGGGGTTTCCTGGTATCATTGATGCATAGGTGAGGTTTTGGACAGGAAGAATCTCCACATGTGAAGCTACATTGTGACAGCTTCTTCTGTCTGTCTAGTCTGAGTTTAGTTCTGCTTCTGAGATGGTGGGATCACATGCTGTGCCATAGTTGGCCTGATTTCTAAAGCTGTCAGGTACAGCCCAGTCTAAATGGAGAAGTATTTCAAGCATATAAGTATTTGCACACTTCAACTTA